ACAAATAAAACACAATTATAAAATATGCTCATAAAAATCAACGCTCCAAATCGAGTCAAACAAGTCCACTATTAAAGCAAATGCCTCAGTCAGGACCAGAAAACTTAACCACATTGCTGAATGTGAATGTTAATTGGTCGATTTTTTTTATTAGTCAGCTACTTCTTCCAGACTCGAAAACCCATCATGTGTGTGCATAAATTTGAGACCATTTATATATTCCATTTGGTATATTTGCTATTTCTCTAGTTCCATTCCATCTCAATATGAAGTGTTAATGCCATTTTACTTTCATAACTCAGCAAAATTAGAATAGCGTCTGCTTGTTTTACCTGTACGCAGTCAACCCACCCAAAATCATATTTTTACATAAATTTCATATGAGTTAGAGCTGTCGCCTTTGCTCAGCACTATTTGTATGCCATCATCTCTCGTCTGTCCAGCTTTAAGCATCATGTTTAACATTTCGATGATAATATCGCTCGCTCGCGCAACTCTATATTTTTATCGTTTATCTATGCTAAATATACGTTTAAACCTTTTATTATTATATACATGAAAACAAAGCCTATGAACTGCTGCGCTCAACATGTTTTCTATTTCGGGTACTGTGTGAAGTTCAAGGAACTGTGCGCGCTAGCCGATCATTGAGCTCAGTTTGAGCTAGTTTGAAATCTAGAGTTGGAATAGGCATAAAATCATAGGCAGAAACTTCGTTGGAATGATACATCGCACCATATTTGAATATATGAAAGCTGGCTTAAGAATCTATAGTCCCTCCCATCTATTAACTACTATAAATCGTCGAAACTGTACAATGTTCTTAGTTTGATTTGATAAAACTCTTGTTTTCTTTTTAACTATCTTTATTCTATTCTTTTGCTTTTGTTTTCAACACATAGAGAGTGAATAATATATATATATATATATAGCGAAATTCTGACTATGATATAAACTATATATACATATAATTTCGCTTAAAACATGTTTTAAATGCTAATCACATTGCTGCTGTCTCCTGCAAAAGCTGCTCTATATTAAACAACTTGAGGTAGCTTTTTTAATGCTATGCAAATAAGCAATGATTAGACTATGACTTTCAAGAGCGGCGCATGCATCATTAAATAAGCCAAAGTGCTTAAGTTGGGAGTGCCCAACTAATAGATACTCCATGCTGAGCTGCAATGTGAGTCATTCTAGCTTTGAGCTTTCAAGAGCATTTTTAATAGCATTTTTGCCTTGTTTTGATTGATTGAATCTGAATTGAAATTTAGTAGCCTTCGCATTGCTAGTGCCTTACTTCATATCTACATAACTTTGTCGACTCTTGTCTTGTCAAGCATTTTCTATATATTTCCTCATGCAAGTAGACTTTGCAACTATTCTGTCGAGCACAGCATCCCCTCCTACCCAACACGTACAGAGTATTAAAAGTCACAAACCACAAATGAAGACCTCAGAGCCCAACAAACTAACCAGTATTTGTCCTGTTCAAGCTCAAGGTCAGCGGCCTTAAAGTTGATTTCGATTCATTCTAAAGTCATAAAAGGAAACCACTTAAACGAGATCAAATAAGAAGACAAGTTTATCACTTGCGGCCTCTGGTTTTGTCCATTTTGTGCGAGTGCCATGAAAGCAGTTCTATTTGAATAACACAAAATAACTCGATTAAATTTTAATTATGCCCATTCAAGGCACATTTTAATGTATGCGGCTGATCCAAAAAGCCTTCAGCTCATCCACGCATCCACATTTCAAACGGTCAATCAATATTTATAGTTCGGTTCACATAACTCACGAAAGTTTGCCAGCCACAAACAAAATATTCGAACACTAATGTGTTTATCCACACTTCATTTGCGTAATCGAAAGCGCACTCTCGGTTTCTTAAATACCACAGACTTTTGGTTTCGATGCGTTCGTTCACTTGATACACCAAGAATTGGGGAGAAGGAACAAAGCAACTTGCGGGATTCGAAGAATAAATACTCTAAACGTTTTTATTCTAGATGACTGACAGGAGCTGAAAGTGCCCGATGAGATTGACAAGAAGATTCCAGATGGATTTCAAACTATACTAGAGGAAAAGTAAGGTAAATTTGGGTCAGTCCACTAAATCTATTTAAATTAATATTATAGTAAAGTTAATAAAGTATAATAAAGCTCTCTCTCTATTATATAGATATCTACATGAACATCTGCAACCAAGCTTTCCATATTCCATAGTATAGCCATAATACCCTTCATACTTTCTATTCGAGGAGAACTTTAGGTAATTAATCTCTGTTGTATGCTGAAGAACAGGTAAAAAGCCATTGTTAATGTTCTTCCGATCAAAAATTAATGTTTGTATACCCTAAAGACATTTCAAGAGAAGAACTTAGGGTATTATGTTTCTGTTAAAGTTGATGTAACTAACAGGCGAGGTCGATACCAAAAGTAAATGATTAATTTAAGTCTGATTAGAAATAATAGCGATTTAGCTTTCCCACTCTGTCCATATGTATGAACGCAAAGATCTTTAAACCTATATGAGATAGATCTAAGTTATAGAATTGTATACCTAGCGCTTCAAATTTCAAACGGCATGTCACACCGCTGTCAGAGTAACTCCTAGTCGATCACTCCCTAGGCTAAAGAACTTTTACTTGTTTTTATTATGGGGCTTGTCGTTTAAGTTGGTCGGACTGGCCGTCTGTCTGTGCGTCATTCTATCCTGCTGACAAGTTCTTGATAGCAACAACATTTTATGCAAATGAAAACGAAATTTGTTTCCAAAGCTTGAAAATGCCCAAATTAACAAAGAATTTATTTGTTGTTGTCGTTGTTTTTCGTTTTGGCTCTTGCTTCTTATAAATTTGTATATTTATTTATTTGCATTTGAATAAATACTTTTATTAGTTTGTTTCTTATTATTTTTAGTATTTCAAACACTCGACATCTTCCGCCAAATATCCGTAGTTAATCCAACTGCGAATGCTGAAAATATTTTTAATTATATCTTGTCGTAAATCAAAATGTAATAACTTTAGATTCTATGGCCAATTTAGAATCTGTTCTCGCAACTGTCAGACGTGGACGTAAATTCCGTCGTACGGTTTGCTGAACCCGTCTGTTGACAAGTCGACAAATATATACGTGTACGTACATACTATAGGTTATTATATTCTCACAGTGATTCGATTTGTTCCGTTACTTTTTATTATATTTTGAATTTGTAATCGGCTTTATTTGACTGTACTAACGGCATTTGCGAATCTTTAAGTATCTGTGAGGTCATTTGAAGTACGATTCAGATTCCTATTTGGATTGCCATTATAAATTCGTAAATAAATTTGAGCTTAGCACATTTTTTGTTGGCTCATCAAGGCTAGATTTGTTTTCTGAATAGGCTGCGTAGCGATGAGTCAGTTAGCCCAGCATCCGGTTCGACAAGTGCTAATCAGATCTGTGGCGATTTTGACTTTTTTTAAGCTTTTTAATTTTGAGCAACTCACTTTAAATCCATTCATCAATGCAGATTACGTTGCTGATCTTTCACGCTTCAATAACTCCAAAGTATTTTCGACACGTCCTCACGAGTTTTTAAAATTATTTACTAAGTTTGGAAACTATTTGCGTGGGTTTCATAATTCTACGGTTACGTTTAGTCCGGCGTGCCTGACTAATTATGCCCAAATAAATTTGAAAAGTTAATTAATTTTCGGTTTTGCATTGAAAAGCACTTTGAAATGGCGCTAAAAACTAAAATGAATTATAAGTATAAGTATAAGTATAAGTATAAGTATAAGTATTATAAGTATAAGTATAAGTATAAGTATCAGTATACGTACTCCGTCTACAGTCATACGTACTCCGTATACCGTATCCGGTATCAGTCTACGTATCCGTCTCCGTCCTCCGTCTCCGTCTCCTCCTTCTCCGTCGCCGTCTCAGTCTCCTCTCGTTCCGTCTCCTTCCGTTCCCGTCTCCGTCTCCACGGCTCCGTCTCCGTCTCCGTCTCCGTCCTCCGTCTCCGTCTACGTATCCGTCTCCGTCTCCGTTCTCCGTCTCAGGCGCGCGTCTCCGTTCTCCGTCTCCGTCGCCGTCTCCCGTCTCCAGTTCCGTTCTCCGTCTCCGTCTCCCTCTCCGTATAAGTAATAAGTATAAGTATAAGTATAAGTATAAGTATAAGTATAAGTATAAGTATAAGTATAAGTATAAGTATAAGTATAAGTATAAGTATAAGTATAAGTATAAGTATAAGTATAAGTATAAGTATAAGTATAAGTATAAGTATAAGTATAAGTATAAGTATAAGTATAAGTATAAGTATAAGTATAAGTATAAGTATAAGTATAAGTATAAGTATAAGTATAAGTATAAGTATAAGTATAAGTAAGTATAAGTATAAGTATAAGTATAAGTTTAAGTATAAGTATAAGTATAAGTATAAGTAAGTATAAGTATAAGTATAAGTATAAGTATAAGTATAAGTATAAGTATAAGTATAAGTATAAGTATAAGTATAAGTATAAATATAAATATAATGTTAAGTATAAGTAGAAGTATATTTAATACAATATCTAATTCAATATCTAATTAAGATGCTTCTCTTTTAATTGTAATTATGTCACATCACCAAAAATTTGGACTACATCCCGAAACCTGAATTGCTGTTGCACATCACAAAACGTTGCACAAAAGGTCTAAGTTAACTTTTTACTCTTTCATTTCGTTAGCCCGACACAACTGAATGCTCATGGGAAAACTTCCCACGTAGATATTTTCGGGTCTATTGTTATTGGTTTCTGGTGCCTTGAACTCGCATAATAGTAGATACAAAAATACTCTATGCACTTTGTTTGTATACAATAAAAAATCTTTATTATTCGTCGCTTTAGCTAAAAAGTCGTTTGTACAAAAAGTTACATATACATATATATATATATTTATATATACTGTAAGTTAATATGTTTGTATATATGATAAAAAACAGTTTCAATACTTTTGCATATGGTACACAATTTGTAAGATAGGTTGGACAAGCACTAATAGAGCTACCATAAATAACAGGTAAACATTTTGTAAGGTATTCAAATAGTAAAGGGTATGTCTAAAATATATATTGGACGTTAACGTTTCGAATTTCTTAACTACGGTTCTCAATTAAACATTTTTTGGACGTAGAATTCTTAACTAAGGCACTAGATTAGTAGAAGTTTATGCAATCCAATTGGTGATCGTCGCATTGATATAAGAAACTAACATTTTCATAATTGTTATAAAGGCACTATGTGTTATAGCAAAGCTGTCTAATTAAGGCACGAGTGTTTCATTTCTTGTTAGTGTGCTCAAGCACATGCGACGACAAAAAACAACATCAAAAGCAGGGGCTGGGCTGTGAAATTGTGCGTTAATTGAGCGCAATTTTGTATGCAAATATTTGATGTACACGCGATAATGATTCATTTGAGCTCCGTTGATGATTTACTATTGCTATTGATATTGGTGTTGTTCTTATTGCTGAAATTTAGATGATACGTTGCAGTTGCTGCCACTTAACATGCGACAGATAGCAGTTGTTTGTTGATGAACTGTAGTTTGGATGATTCATAAGTACCAACTGAAAGTCTCTTTGGATTGTATGCGGCATGGCTGGTGCGGAAGTGTTCGTCTGACAATTGCATAAACATTCAACTAGCGGCTGCATAAAACTACATTTAATTATATGGTGAGAATTCTTTGTTGAAATGTCGTGGGGACGGAATGTTTTAGTGTTGTTGTTGTGTGCTGCAGTAAACAAAAGTTTGATGATTATTATCTTGGCTCAAGGCGCATACAACATCTACTTACCTATTTTATTGTCACTGTATGAAGTTACTAATGCCGTCTGCATTAGCCACGCACAAGCTCAAACCGTGTCTGCGACTCCTTGAACTGCAAGCGCTTGCGTAGCTGTACATGCGACTCGGTGAGGAACAATGTGGCAGCCACCAGAGTCAGTACCGTACCCACGCATGCCATCACAAAGGACCAGCCGAACCAATTATTGGCATGCTCCGGCATCCAGCCATTTCGATTGCCAAACACAGCAAACACGATCACTGCAATGGTCGCACAGACTCCTGCGCCTAAGAGAACAAATCCAACTGCACGAATTAAAGTAATGAAGTGTTTTTGGTCTGGTCCAGCGCAGAGGAAGAACACTAGCACACCAATGGCACTGACCAGCATGCCAATGAACGTAAGCGTGTAAAAGAATTGTGTGGTTATCATGAAGGCAGGCAGAAGGAATCCACGTATCTCATCGTAGCCCTTCGTAAATGGGTCATAGACCCAACGGCAGCCGACGAAGAAACGACGCTGACTATCATCGTTCACATCAGGCAGCGAACGGAAACAGTGCACCCAGAGACCCAGTCTGTCCAACTTGGCACCCGTAATGCGGTAATCGCTGACAAGCCAACTGGGCGTTGCAAACGCTATGGCTATGAAGGCGAATGCAAAGATGAAGACGCCAACGCCACATGTGCCTGCTAAGGTGCGGCGCTTCATATTGACGGTGTTGTGTGGACTGGGTAAATGCTCCTGGGAATCCTCGCGTGCAAAATGTGGTGCTTTTTGCATGCTTTGTATACAAAATTAGCAATGTTTTTTTCACAGGTTTCGAATGTTTGTTTCTTAGGCTTAGGGTGTGGACTGTAGAGTTGTATTGAATCGTTTGGAACACGTTCAATTGAACGGCTCTCTGGGATGAATCACGGAATCAGTGAATCTGATTATGCATTTTGTTGGGTTTGACTTATATGTTTTATTTTTTACTCATAATATTGGATGTTAAGGTTTATCAGTTGAATATAATTTAAAAATGAATATATTTTAATTAGAGACAAAAATTTTAATATACTAAATAAGCAAATTAGTCTCAAGCTTGAACTTAACAGCAAACTAGTTCCTAATAACAGTTTCGCGGCTAAGCTTGGATATCGATAGTGCAGGGTTGCCATTCAACCTGTTATCTAACAGAGGCTTGCAATGAATCTGCTTTGGCGGCAGACTTTCAAAAGTGTGCTACAGATTAAATTAATCTTATCTTTGATGACTAGTTTAAATAAGTTGTTTGTTATTGTCATAATATTTTGATGTAGATATTGGGTTAAAAGTCTTATAATTTATAAAAGGCCCATCCATGCAAATTTTATCTATGTACTGTACGTTTAAATGCTAAACCGTGTGCGTGTCTTTAACAATTAGGAATCTTGTTCTGTTTACAGGGATGCAACTGCCTTGTGAGCAGCGTCATCCAAATCTCTGGCCGTCTGTATGGGCAGACCAGAATTCTTCAGAATCTCGCGGGCCTTAGTTACATTGGTGCCCTCCAAGCGCACCACCAGCGGCACATTCAGCTTCAATTTTTTGGAGGCAGCGACAATGCCATTGGCAATGGTGGCGCAGTTGACAATGCCACCGAATACATTCACCAGAATTCCCTTTACTTTCGGATCCGAAGTGAGTATCTCAAAAGCTTTGGTCACCTGTTCCTCCTTGACACCTCCACCAACATCTAAGAAGTTGGCTGGCTCACCGCCATTCAACTTAATGATGTCCATGGTGGCCATGGCGAGACCAGCGCCATTTACTAAGCAGCCAATGTTGCCATCCATAGCCACATAGTTGAGATTGTATTTGGATGCCTCTACCTCACGAGGATCGGCCTCCTCTTCGGTAACGTCCATAGCAAAGATCTCCTTCTGGCGAAACTGTGCATTATCATCAAAATTCAGTTTAGCATCCACAGAGATGACCTCGCCAGTATCTGTCTCGGCCAATGGATTAATTTCAATTTGCACAGCATCCACTGACTTAAATAGAGTATACAACTTTTGAATCTCATCAGCACATCGCTTAATTCCGTCGCCTTTGAACTCCAGGAACTTCGCCACTTCGATCAGCTTGGCTTCCGGTATTGGTTTGGCAATATCCAATGGAACAGTCAAAAGTTTCTCAGGAGTTTCCGCTGCCACAGCCTCAATGTCCATGCCGCCAGCTGGCGAAGCAATCAGCACGGGACCATTATGTTCACGATCGAGTAAAATGCAGATATAAGTCTCTCGTGTTATATTCACGCTGCGTGCCACCATCACCTTGTTGACGAGAATACCCGATTTGGGCGTCTGTTTGGTAATCAGGCGATTGCCTATCATCTGTTTGCTAAGCGAGAGTACATCGTTCTTGCTGCAAAACGAAAGCACTAGGCAATTACTTGTGTTTATTATTCGTCTGTCGTTCGTCTCTCTTTCTCTTATCTACGACGGCGTTATCAATGCAGAGAAACGGCAGACGACAGATGGAACGATGGCCACTTACTTTGAGGTTATGTGGACACCTCCCTTGAAACCATTATCGAAAGTGCCCTTGCCGCGCCCGCCAGCTAATATTTGTGCCTTGACCACGTACTCGGGACAATCTTAGATGATAATTAACAACAATTAAGGCTTATGTCAACCGGTTTGTCTTCGCTTAATTACCAAATGATTTAACCACTTGCGTATCAGCACTGGAGTTATCCAATACCTTAAACTGTTGTATGGCTACGCCATACTTTTGCAGCAAGTCCTTGGACTGGAACTCCAATAAATTCAGATGTCGCACCTGCTGTTGCAGCGTTGGTGCCTGGATAAAAATAAACAATGAAAAGGAGTTTGAGTCAAAGGTCAATCTGAGTTAACATATGTTAAAGAAACCTTATGAATGAGCTGGCGCGTTGAGGCAGCGGCTTTAATTAATAGCGACATATTGCACTTTCAAAATGGACTGAACTCTATACGCAAACTTAGTTTTGATATGGCGTAGCAATTTTTATTGACAGCAATTCATGCGGATTATTTAAATAACACACAACCAAACGCCGCCGCCGCCGCTGTCGTTTAACAGAGCAGCACTAAATTTAACAGGCGATATATGCGCAAGTTGAGCAAGGTAACGCAAAAAAGAGACACGACTACACAGTGCTTTTATCTATGTAAATTAACAGTGCCATGCAAGAACATTGCATTGTCTTGCTTTGGACGGATAAGGTTCTGCTAGGATTTTGGAAGCAGCTGTTTTAAAAAAATATTCTTAATGTTTTTACTACACAATGAATAACTAATAGTATAATTGAATAACTAATAGCACTTAAAGGAACAAATAATAAGTTTAAGTGAAATGGCGCCTCAAGTAACCGTACTGCCTCCGCTGGAAATACAGCCTCAAATTCCACCCCTCATATCAGTTAGCTCTTGCATTGTTTTGGCTGTCATCTATGTGGGCAGTCTCTACGTATGGAGCACCAAACACAATCGTGATCATCCAACGACAATAAAGCGACGCTTCGCTAGCGTCTGCTGTGTGATGTTAATCGCGCCGGTATTTGTGTATTTCCTCTCATCGCCAGAATTGCTGGAACGTGAGCCATTCCCAAAGTTAATTGGCTTCCGCTTGGAGGGATTATGGCAGGCGATTGTAATTCCCTACCTGCTCACAGCTCTCCTATTTTTGGGACCTATATTTGTGAATTTCCAGAATGAATCGTTCAGTTCCTACTTTGGTAAGTTTGATTATCATGACACAATCAATAAATTGATGACTTGCTTATCGCTTTTAGATATGGACTACTGGCGTGGCTCTTGTAGTAACATTATCTGGATACGTAACCTTGTGATGGCGCCTCTGAGTGAGGAATTTGTCTATCGTGCCTGCATGATGCCACTTATACTACAAAGTTTCCCGCCAATGACTGCTGTATTTATAACTCCGCTATTCTTTGGCGTTGCTCACTTGCATCACATAGCCGAGAGATTGAGCATGGGCATGGAGCTCAGTACCGCATTGCTGATAGGTCTGTTCCAGTTCATCTATACGACACTCTTTGGTTTCTATTCGGCATTTTTGTTTGCTCGCACGGGACATTTTGTTGCACCACTGCTGGCTCACGCTTTATGCAACCATATGGGATTACCTGATGTCCAGGATCTTTGGCAGCAAGATCTATGGCGGCGAGTTCTTGCAGTTGTTTTGTATGTTGTGGGACTTGCTGGTTGGATTTTCCTACTGCCCATAGCTACTGAGCCGTCGCTCTACAGCAATAAGCTTTATTGGAATGTTTAAAAACCAAAACATTGAAATCATTGTATTGTTGCCATATTCGAGAGTTCGTTGTCCATACATACATAAAGGTTTATGTATATTAGTTAGTCATATCATAGAAAACTGACTGTACAATGTATTATTAAGTCTTCCGTTAAATAAATAAACAGTAGTTATTTTTAGAACAAACAAAAATCGTTTCGCGGACATCGTGTGGAGCAGCATTACTCGTCACGACTATCGATAAGAATGTGAAGACTCACGACGCTTCTGTAGCTGCAATATGCGATAACGATAGCTCAGTATATATGTATAAAATGATTTGAGAAATTGAGAAGCATGAGCGATGTGTGATAACAAAAATACGCACAAAAAACTGACGCTGAAATTAGCTACGAGCATCCCAGACAATAGCCGCACTTGAGTAAGGTAAGTGCCACGAGCATGTATGCAGTTGTCTGGTCGATGCTAGTCAAAGTCAAAACTGTGACCCAAACAACAACAGCAACACAACATAAATTCTGCTGACGTCTCGCACGTCCCCAGGACAAACTACAATCTCAACTATAGCTAGACCTCTTAATGCTTGCAGCAACAACAACACGAAAGAGAAATAAACGACACGTCAACGTAGCGGCCTAAAAATGTATTGCCTGCAATGTCTATTGCCCGTGTTGCTCATACCAAAGCCCACAAATCCAGCGCTGATGGAGACGCACGTCATGTTCATAGTACTCTATTTGATAGGCTTCTTTCTGGAACGAAAGCCATGTACAATCTGTAGCTTAGTATTTCTCACTGCAGTCTCACTCATCTGCTACAGCGGCGTCGGCAACTGCATCTTTTGGGGCAGCTGCGAGGGTCATCTTTGTGAGAATGGCTAGACGCCGGGCCCAAGTCGCGAGCCAATAGTCAACGAAATCGAGGCGGGATGTAGGAGTGCTAATTAATTAATTACGTTCGCGTTTGCTACAGCTTTACAATACATACAATTTGCATAAACAAACAAACAATCAGTGATAAAAAGTGAGTGAGTCTACAAAAAGAGAAGAGGAGAACGTACATGAATGTTTGTCAACAGATAACAACCTCTATTTATCTGCCCGCCCTACAAGGAAAGCCAAAAACAATAACAATTCCATCCCAACGCATTCGATATTATCTGCCTCTTCGAAATGTATTTTAATTTAGCTAAATTTTCTAACACCCCCAATCCTGCAAAGAGAAATTTGTATTCATTTGTGTATTTTTATAGTTTTTCTTTAGAATTAAAAGAGAAATTCCTTTTAACAAGCGCTACAAATGTATTGTAAATTCTTCTGATTATGAGAGCAGAGTTATTCCCCGTCAATGCAAACTACGATTAGTCATATTTATATATTTAAATAAACTGTAAACAAAAGAAATCATAATAATGCTGTGCGTCCTTTGTTGCGCCAATGAAAGTCTTAATCGGTTGTTTCCCACAAATTGTATATAAAAATATACATACACATACACACGCACACACACATGCATACACACGTATACACTAATCATTGATTGATATATTGTATAAAAATAATCAAAAGTAAAAGGAAATGTTGGATTTTTTTTTACGAATTGCACTTTGTACATTTACTTTAAGCAACGACAAATTTTTCAAATTTGTTTTGAAACGAAATTAAAATAATAATAACAAATTAACGTACCGAAACGACACAATATCTATAAAAAAAAATAACAAATAAAAAATTTATTGACGCTATGGCTAACGAATCGTTTTTATCTTACGTCCACGCCGGGCAGCTAGTGATTTTTAATAGTTAGGAGAGAGATTAAGCAGCTCAATATGTTAAGATGTGTGTATTCTAAGTATTTTGATTAACTTTTTCTAATCTACATTGCACTCACTAAAATATTTTGCAAACTCTTAACAAATTTTTCACTTTAATTAACACAATAACTCTTGATTTCCAATTATCCACAATTTTATTCGCTTCAAAATGTATGTATATAAAAATTTACAATTTGATTGATTGTTGGTAAATTTTTTGTTTGTTTTACTTACTAAAAACTACTAAAAAAGTATTAAAAATAAAATACTAGAATTTATATACAAATTTAAATCGGATTTATTTGTGAATAAAAAGGGGGACGAAAAGAAAAACAATTCAAAACGTTAGAAATTAATTCAAAAACATTGTTCACAAAATTTGAGAGGACCGATTGGAATGTTTATACATACAATATTTTTACGAAAATATACAAATACATATATAGATATATTTATAAAGATATATAGAGTTATAGATAGACAGTTATAGAGGAAAAGGAGATACAGAGATTGTTTTTTGAAACCAAAACGTAAAATTTCTATCGATTGACATCTTCAGTTTTTTGGCGTTTTGGGGGCTGCTACAGATGTTTGTTTTTCATTTTGTTTTGGAATCGAGCAAAGGATGACGACACAGTTACAATTTGATATAGAATAAACAATAACAAAGACGACGACCACAACAAGGATTCGATTCACAGAGCAGCAATCACAGGCGTGTTGTTGTTGTTACTTAAACGGAACGAGGCTGGACGACTGGAAGAGAATGGAAGAAAAAACAAGAGAGAGCTTAGTGGATTACATATTAGATATGTCAGCGGTTCTTACAGTGGGGTCGCTGCGACTCCTCGGAGACGGCACCACCTTCGGCTGGCTGCATCATGGGCACGGGAATGCGCACGGGCTGAGCCAGGCTACGTCCAAAGACCATGCGACCGAATGGCACCTGTGGTGGCTGATCGAGCATGGGCGGGGTCATAGTATCGCGTGGCTGCTCCGGCAGTGGCTGCAGTATCAAGCGCTGGATTTGCATATGAGGCATTTGGTCCTCCTGCTGCTCACTGGACTCCTGCTGCTGCTGCTGCTGCTGCTGTTGTTGTTGCTCAGGCTGCTGCTGGCTTGACTGGGACTGAGACTGGGACTGGGCCTGGGCTGCTGTAGCAACTGGAGTGGATTGCTCGCCAGATGCCATGGGCGTCTCAGAGTGCTCCTCTTCCTCATCAGAGTTGGCGTTGTTATTCTCATTGGAATCAGAAGAATCCTCGGCGGTCAGGCGACGCAGCTCGTCGGTGAAACGATCCTCGGCCATGCGTTGAATGTTGCGCAGATCGTCAGCGGTGATGCCCACGCGCTGCAGTGCTACGCCCAAAGGCATGTGCTGGATCTGAATCTGTGGCATCTCACGCTGGGGCATCTCGCGCTGCAGCAGCTCACGCTGTGGCATCTCGCGCTGTGGCATCACACGCTGTGGCATCTCACGCTGATCCTCCTGCTCGCGGGGCATATCGTTGGTCAAGTCCAGCTGGCGGAAGGGCAGCTGATGCATATGGATGCGCATGGTCTGTATTTGAGGCTGCTGTGGCTGTTCCTCCATGCGTGGTGCTTGCATCACCTGTGGTGGCATGGGTGGACGCATGGGCAGATGCTGGAACGGAGGGGGCAGCTGGCGAATGATGATCGAACCCTGCTGGGGCAGCTGCTGCTGCATCGCTGGTGGCATCATGCGCTGGGGCATATGAGTGAGTGGCATCTGGTCGGGAATGCGGCCAAAGGGAATGGGCACACGCTGGAATGGTATAAACATGGGACGCATTGGCTCAACATCTTCCTCAGAGTCATCCTCCTCGCGCTGGCGCTTGGACTCCTTCTCCTCATCGTCGCCGCCATCACAGAAAATGGAAATACGTTCGCCGGTGATGCGTGCCTTCTTTGGATCGGTGGTCAGATTGACGCCAAAAGGCAGCGCCACGGTCTTTGAGGGTGAATCAACAATCTCCTCGGCATGCTTGCGCTCCACCACACAGTTCATGCGGGATCTATAACACGTTATACATATTAGTTTATATAGCAGGGATTAGGGCGTGGTGTGTGCTTACTTCTTGTTATTGCGCAGAATAGCTGCGGCCAGATCGCTCAAGTCCAGCTCGAGCGGCATCTTGCCTGGGAACTTTTGCATCTCCTCGGGCTCGTCGCTCTCCGAGTAGGTGTTGTCGTGCTCATTGACATTGCGCTCAATGCCTTCGTTCTTTGACTCCGTCTTCTTATCCAACGGGGCCTCATCGTGATCGAGATTTTGCAAATCCTCACCAACATCGGATTTACCGAGCAAAGCTTCAGCTCGGGGTAGTTCCTGTAAAACGAAAAAAGGTAAACCACATTAGAATGTTAACTTTTCGAAAAACACAAAAATATCTCAAGGCTTTTGCTTGGATTTTGACTAGGAAATGTATTTGTCGCATTTTGTTGCTTATTTAATTTTTTGGTTTTTGCTTTTTGTTAAAAAACCACTTAAAATGGCTGGGGCCATCAAGCACGTACTGGCAATATACATATACTCCTACAGTGGCTGCAATTGTTATGTGCCACTAACAATGCGACGTTGTCGTCAGAAGATGTGACCCCAACCTAGATACTAAAATACGTCAGACGCAACTGTGACTGAAACCAAAAGTAAAATGCCATCAAATTTGAAAAAAAAAAAAAACAAACAAATAAACAAACACATATTACATAAGCACACACAGACACTTATATGGCCAGGTGTGTGTGTCTAAAAAAACTCATACAATAGCAAAATTTAAATAATTTGTTGAGCAAAACAACAAAAAGCTCATTAATTCAATGCGAGGCAGCGTTTGCTGCTGCTGCGGATGATGATGATTGATAGTGGACCAAGTGGCCAACGGGGCTGAGCGGCAGAGGTAGCTGGGGCTGTGTGGGTGTACTGGCAGGTTTTGAGTACCTGGTTAAGCTGTCGCCAGCAGCAGCAATCAGAGCTATATAAATATATCCGGTAGCTGATGGCTTTCTGGCTTGACATTGGAATATGAGTTAAGGGAAGAGTTATTAACTAATTGGACAGCTGCAATAACAATTTCAAACTAAGCTGGGCCAAATGCATAAAATCTAATTAGCTTGAGATGGGAATGTTTGTGTCTGTTCAGCCTCCCAGCTTATCTGAGGCTATAGCCAGCCAGCTTCATTAGTGCTTAATGAGGCGCAGTTGATGTTGGTTTTAATGATGCAGCAGATGCTGCGCTCAAGATGAAAAAAAGCATAAGCATTTGTACATCGCATCTTAAGCTGAGTCATTGCTTTTCGCCCGAAATCAAACGACAAAATTTCACTCAAAATAAAAGCAGAAATATGAGTAACTGAAACTAAAACTGAGCCAACCTGTTTGACGAGCTCTGAAACGAAGTCAGCGAGTCGAGTCTCTGTTCCAGTTTCAGTGCCTGACACCACTTAGCCAATTGCTAAACTCCAACTCCAGTTTACAGCTCAATTTTGTTTTTCTTAATTGTGTGTTGTTTTTTGTTTTGTTTTTATTCATTTTGTTTTTTTTTTCAGCTGAGTTTCAAGGCCAAGCGAGGCAAATCGCATCTGTTACACCAGAACATTTGCGAGCATTAAAAACTAGACACGTCGCTGTCGCAGACATTAAGATGACAATTAAATGATTACAAATTGAACGTCTGTGTGCAATTACTTTTTTGCCCGACTGTCTGTCCTATTTTTAGCATTGACGCAAGTGCCTTTTTCAGCAAATTGATATTCTACTGGCGTAGAATTTCCTTTAGAAAATCGAAGCATAATTAAAAATGTATAGCAGGCAACTGGCAAAGTGTTTGCAAATTTGCACAACAGCCACAGCAATTATAAATCATCTATAACTGTGTGAGCGTGTGTGTGCCAGTGTGTATATTGACATTACATAATCATCAGTTGGAGCCATAAGTTTCTGGCTTTGTTTGCGTGCCCAAAACGAAAGACTTAAGCGCGCAACTTGCCTTAAATGGCAAACAGTCAACGCGTCTTCCACTGCGTCTCTTTTGATCTATGTATGTGTGTGTGTGTGTGTGTGTTGACGACTTACAAGCTGTCTTGCTGTCTGTCTGTTAGTCTATTTGTGTGACGGTGCCAAGCGGCGCCAGCCGGCAAAAAGCAAAAAGTGACAGCAAATACATTATGGCTGCTGCGGCTGCCTCTGCTGCTGCAGCTGCAGCTGATGATCTCTGGCATTTGCCGCGCCCACGCCCGCTCCTCCGCGCTTGAGCAGCTTACTGAGCGTGTGTGTCTGTGTGCAGCTTCAAAGCTGCTTTTGTGCCATGCACCGCCACATTGCAACATGCTGCTGTGGCTGCTGCTTTCACTTTGGCTCTGTCTGCCATTTGATTCGCAATTGTTAGCCACTGATGATGATTATGTCGCAAGCTGCTCCCAGCTCCCAGCTCCCAGCTCAGCTCAGCTCTGTCCACTTAAGCGTCAAATTATGGGAATTTCGCTTGATTGAATTTTTTCATTGCACCAACGACTTTACATAAGCTTCCCCTAAAAACACTTTATATAGAGAGTTTCTGTTTCGTTTTTTGTTTTTTTTTTTTTTGGGTTGAATAACCTACTCCAAATTGACAGCATTAAAATGACGCTGCTTTTTTTGTTATGATTTTTTTTATTGTTTTCCATCAAATTAAATTTAATTGCCGCTGCATATTAATCTATGCATTCAATTAGTTTTATTGTTTGTTATGGGCGCTTTCATTGCACGTTAATTGAATATTGATGATGCTATGCAAATGCTGGCTGCATATGGCATATATCATAGAAATATGAACGCTCTCTGCAGCTGTTTTTAGAAAATGCCATTAAATTTGAATTATGTGCAGTCATCGGCCAAGTAGCTGGCTATACATATATACACCCATAAGCCACTGCATGGCATTTGGTTTATACCATATGCGATTGTTATGGTACGGCTATTTGGGTTTTAATGGGCTGCTTTGATTACATGAAGTGAAATTTCTCAAGGAAGCACGCAACACGCTAATTCAATTTGCACTTATACAATCTCAAATGAATATGAATATGAATATGAATGTTTGAATATGCGCATGTGAATGTGCATTCAATTGCCTTGCTTATGCATGCAATGCGGTAAAAGATTGCGCTATAAGCTGTATATATATGTGTGTATATATAAGTTTATACAACTTGTAACACTATGGATATCATTAATTTGATCTTGTGTTGACAGCAAAGGTTTGCCTTATCGAAGGTTCACTGTGTCAGCAGCTTGCCTATCTTTTATTTATAGTTTTCTTAACATGTTCTCTAGACTAAACGATGACTTCTCATTAACTTGTAGAGTTTAGTTTAGTAAAGATATGTTTATCTATAGATGAATGCTTAAGTTAAATAGGCAGTCTGAATAATGCAAATATAATTAGCTTTTCTGGGTACTTCTCTTTTATTTACTTGATTACTCAAATGTGCTTTAGACTGATTCATTGAAGTTTTTTCTTTTTTATTGTTTATTGCTCAAGCTGTTCTACTTGAAACTAGATTACTATAAGGGAACAACAATTTCCAATCACTTTAGCTGTCTGTAAGCTAAAAGCTCATTGGGGTTTTCCACTCATCGAGTGTAACAGCGAAAAAACCCCTCGGCGCAGCTGTTTTGCTGCCCGCTAAAATACTATAGACCCATTTGGCAACTAATAGTGCGTGCAATAAATGTACCTGCTGGGAATAATCAGCTAACACGCATCTATCAGTCATATGCATAAGTATATACATGTGTATTTATATGCGGACATTTTCCGGTAATTATCGTTAATTTACCTTTATAATTTGAATGTTGCGGTTGAAAATCTGTTTTGGCGTGCGCAGCGAACGATGCAAAAAGCAATAATGGCCATATAAACATTATGAACATTAGGTAATCATATAAATTTTATATGTACGTATATGTATATGTGCGATAGGCGACTCGCAAAAGCTGACACCGACTGATACGAAGTGTGGCTCTCACTCTCGCCCTCTCTCTCTGTCTCTCACGTTAATCTTTAAATCTAGTTTGGCTGCGCATTGAGGCGTTCAGCAGTCACTTACCTTGCTCACCTGCTGCAGCGTTTCCAGCATTAGCTCCTTCTCCAGCACCGAGTCCAGGGCCTGCACCTGGTCACAGGAGGCCTTGGCCTGCAGGTACGACGAGGCCAAAATGAATGCGCCCAATATGAACGAGGATACGACTATGGTAAAAGCCGTAATCTTGGCTATTTTTACCGAGTTCGCTTGACGTTTGTACGCCTGCAAGCAAAAGCAACAATCAGGATTAGTTTTTCGATAATAATAATACGTATTTAGTTATTTTTTCTCGATTCCCGACTACGTTTATAAAATGCTACAATTAAAAAGTAAAAGTGTTATGTGCTCTGTTGGCGTTGACCTTAAGAGCGAGTAAAAGCATCGACCTTGCATGGCTTTGTGTTTAGCTTTTGACTTTTTAGCTCACGTATCAAAATGCAGAGTGCAAGGTGCCCAAAAGAAACAGAAAACAGATACGAAACTAAGGCTAAACAAGTTGAATGTTAAGGTGAAATGAATTATAGCAAAATAAGAATAAAACAAGATTTTGTTAACTTGAATTGAAACTTGAATTAGCTAAGCGATCTATTTGAATATGCAAAACGATTGCCAAATATTTGCTCAGTTCTTGTAGGTGCAAAAATTGACAAGCTGCTGTTAAATCAAGCTCTTTAAGGTATATGAAAGAGGTATTTGTACAATAACTGCGGAGGTTCCGTGATGTAAGCTATTGATCAAGTCCAAAAACAATATTGATCTGGCAAGTCATATGGGACAGGCTTGACGAACAGACAGACAGACAAACAGCTAAACATACAGACGGACATAAATAGAACGATTGGAATTTGACTTTATTGACAAACAGCTGGACATACGAACAGACATGAATAGAAACTAAATTTAGCTTTATCGTAAAGTATGCGCAATCGTCTTCCAGCTGCAGCAAAATCAAGATAACCGATCTAGCCTTTTGGCATATGTTATTCACAAAAAGCTATATAACATATATATGTGTATTCATATAAAACTTGCATAACAGGAAATACTTAAAAAAAAGAGACAAACACAAAAAACCGCAAAAATGTTTTGAGGAAATAAAAAGGCCAACAGAGCAAAAACAAAAACAAAATAGAAAAGAAGAGAAGAAGAGACTTAACGCCTTTGTAAAGTTTGGCGTGGGTGCAGTCAGTCAAGTGAGGCGCAGGTGTGTGTGTGTGTGATGTTCAGCGAAATGTGCAATTTTACACCTTTAGATTGTGGCATAGTGTGTTACTACGTGAGTATTGTGCCCATTTTTTCGCTGCTGTTGTTATTTTTCCAGCAAATGCAATTGCGAAAGTGAGTCGAGTCGAAGGCATCGGCAAAGTATAAGTATTAAAGTGAAGTGAAGTGAAGTGCTATTTGGTGAATGTTAGGCACAGCTACAACAACAACAAGCGTATTATAATGAAGAAGAAAAAACGACGGCTGCTGCTCGTTACTCTTGATATGTTTTTTGTTGCTGCTCGTTATTTGTGTAGCTGTGGCTCTTGGGTGCAGTTAAAGACAAAAGACTTGAGCGACAAACCTGATGATTAAAGTTAAAAAATCCCAGCTGTGGTTGTTGTTGTTGTTGATGTGTAGTGCGAGGTGGTAGGAGTTACATAAAAAAATGTATTTTCAAATTTTGTTGATTGTCAATCGCAGGTTTTGATTCACAATTTTTTATTTGAAGTGTGTGAGAGGAAAACAATTTATTTCGTGGTTGGTGGACAAAGGCACACACACACGCAAACACAGACAGACACAAATGCACATAAAATGAGAGAAAAACAAAAGGTTAATGAGTTGGCTGTATGAAGGTTTCAACTTATGCTTAAAGCTAAGGCCACAGTGAAAGCTGCAGGTTCGAAGGCTGACAGCAAGAAGATGACTCTGAAAATCAATGGCTGGCTACAGTGGCAACAGATCTCAAGCTTCTTGCCGACATTGTGCCTTTGAAGCCGGCTAAATCATGTCTTAATCTTTAGTCCAAGTACTGAGAAAATCACGTCAATTCCAGCTTTCACTACGGCGACTACGGCAACTGCGAGCTTGCTGCAATTTATGGCTGATGCGGATGTACGAAATGCAAATATGCGAAATGCATTTTTTATGCAAATTTCAAATCAATTGCAGCCCACATAGCGCCCAGTTCTTGAAGCTTGAGATCGAGCTGCTTGGCTTCAATATAATTGCGCCAGTTTTTCTCTTTTATGTTGTTGTTTTTCTTGTAGCTGCCTGATGTTGTCATGGCACATTATATTTGTTTGTGTTTATCATTATGAGGTTTTGTATTTACAGTCGTGACTATTGTATTAGATCTTAAATTTGGTTTCCAACGGGTTTTCTTTTTGCTCAACTTAACTCAACTCAACTCAGCTCAGCTCAGCTCAGCTGAGTTGAGTTGGTCCGCTGCAAATGGGTACAAATCTATTCACACTTTGCTGAGAATTGCGCTGTGCCCATTTACAGGCTGCAGGCTGAGCTTTTGTTTTTGATTTATTTATTTCATTTGGATTTTTCCATTTGTCTTAAAATGTCAACGTCGCGAACAATTGTCGAAGCTGTGCACGTTGCATGCCATTCGCCAGTACCGGGTCATAATAATTGAAAAAAATTGCATTAAAATTATTATCTGCAGCCAAATTGCTTATGCATGCAGTTGCAAAGTCGACGTAGTTAGTGAAAATGATCACGTGCAGCCAGCCAGGCAGAGGCAATGTTCACATTGCAAAAGATGCAGACAACGACATATTGCGCATACGCGCCATATGCCCGCAACGGATGTGCCGGCCAATCGAATGACCCTGGCATTTTTATTTATTTTACTGCAGCAGCTGTTGGGCTGTGGCCAAGTAACGCTTGGATCGCCGCTGACCCGCTTCTAGCTTATACAAAGTTAGCGCAAATAATTGCCAGACTCGAATGACATATGGAAATTGTAATTAGGCTCGTCATTCAACAATAACAAATTGACGCACTAAACGCAATCAACCAATATATATATATATATAATAATCATAACGTCTATCCAATTTATATATATTTATATATATATATATATGAAATATTTACTCACCGGTGGCGGTTCGCTGGCGGTGCTGTACACCTCACTAGCCGCATAGTCGGGCTTCAGTTGCACGGTAGCCATGGATACGTTATCCTTCTCGGTCATCTATTATGCACTATAAAATAAATACATACATAAATATGATTTGATTTTCCATATCTTTTCTTGCACATTCATCCAGAAGTCTGATTGTTTTTCGTTTCAGGGGAAATATTTTAATTTAATGCACACAGATTTGGCAAATTTTTGTCATGCACTTTCCAAATTGTACAAAATTTCACTTTTTTAATATTTCATTTGGTTTCGGTTGTTTCGTCTCTTTACTCGTACTCCACTTACATTGAGATTTGTATATTTGTTGATTTAAGCAGCAATGACGCTCAGTTAACGTTAAAAGTAAAAGGAGTTCAGTTTATTTATTTATATATATTTTGTTTGTTGTTGGAACGTTTTTGGTTGCGGTTTTTCAAAAAGTTGTCTGGCCAACTTTAGCAGAGCTCCGCCAGGTGGATAAAGAGAGAAAATAGTACGTCTTTGTTGTACGACTGCCACTCGCCGTCTGAGGCCACAAACGCGTTTCATTTCAGATTTTTCTACCAGATTTAAAACTTTTTTCGTCTGTCGGCGTCGACTGCACAGCCACAGATACACACGAAAGCGCAGCTCACATGCACACATGCACACATACACACGCGAAAAAAGCATTCACTCACACACAAACACACGCACACACATTGAACAAGTATACGATCGGCGGCAGCAGCAGCAAAAAACACGAACAAGAAACAAATAAAAATAAGAGTAAAACTAAATACACACACATACACTCATAGCACTTACAATCGCTTGATAATGTATATATATATGACACACATATATATATAAATATATATATATATAATTTTTTTGTATATGTTTTGGCAGCCGAGCTTGACTGCGAGCTTAAAAGCTTTCGGGTGCGGCTTATTGGCTTGCCAGAGCAGCTACGCAGCAATTTTTTGTGTAGACCATTAAGACACAAATTATATTACAAAAATATTTTGTATGCTCTAGAGTATTAGAAGAGCATTAGAAATTAGTCATGAGATGTGTAACGCACAGCAAAAGATCGTTTAACTCTAGCTACTTAATTAACAGTATCACAAGTCATATATATGATACGTCTGGGGTAAACTTGCTTTTGAAGTTAGCTAACAATACCTTGGCCAGATCAAAGTACTATATCGAATGCGCAATAAAATGAGCTAGACAAAAATCAAGTTTTTTTACTGGAAAGTTTTGCCGCATTTCATGATATCTCGAACAAACTTGCCTACGAATAGCTTTTAAATTAAATTTCTATCAATTATATATTTAGAATAAACAAATGATAAATGTTATGTCTACAGGTTAATGCAAAGATCGGTGTGCGTTAGTTTCTCAGTTCTTACTTGTTTTTGTTTTCGAATTCTTGGCCGTAAGCCTTTTGATTCGTTTCGAGTTTCGCATCTTATGCATAAACAGACTATTTTTGTCATGGATTCCGGGAATATAATTATAAACGCCCAACACTTGTTAATAAAAACAAATATGGCTAAGGGGAAGGCAGACCACGGCAGAGCCAATTGCAAATTTATATTATATGTATAACAAATGAAATTATATTTGTTTTTATTTTATTTATTATATATTATGTATTATATTTCAGATGACAGCACTTTAAGAAGTCACTGAACTGCACAAATCGAATTTAATTGAAAATTCGTTGATAATTTCTTATATACTTGAACATGAATTTGCTCTTAAATTTCGCTTGCTTTATGACTTCACGATGTAAACATTATTCCACAAAGATTAAGCAAAGTACTCAGACGCACGATTTTGAGCTTAAAGACAAACTGATTCTTGAGTATGGACAGCATAAAAGGACTTCTGTGTAGAGTAATCATACTGCTCTTGCTGATATGTCATCAAACATTAGTGCGAAATACCTGCCAAGAAAACTTCAGGCCTCAACCCAATTTAGATATCGCTGGCAATCCAATTTTGATTAAGTTCTAAAAGAAACATAAAATGTGTTTATAAATAAAAGAAGATTTAAAATAAAAATAAATGAAATAGAAAATGTATAGTAAATCGACTTATTTAAATGTAAATGATAAAACATACATTATAAAACAGCCATATAAATAAATAAAATATATAAATCTGATAATGATTGCTGATCAGTAGTCAGTATTCTCAATTGATCGCCCTTTGCCAATCATCCGACAGAGTGCAAAGACCGACGAAGACATCATTTAAAATTGCATTTTCCATACGTTATAAATTTATATATGATTAAGTGAGATGAATTCCGTTTAATTGGCTGCTGATTCTCACATAGTGCGCGAGTTACGGGTGTTATCAAAATGAAACTACTTTACGTGTTCGTATTTCTGCTGATTTTAATGAAATACAACGTTGAGGGCACTGAAAACGAAAAGGAGCACGTTAATGTCAGGCGCTTGAGCTTCAGGCCATCGATCAGCAGGATATTTACAGGAAAACCTCACCGTTTGTACCAAGAAACCACAGCGAAATGTTCCACATGCATATGAGCATTATAAAGAGAGCTTGGAACTTACAAAATTCCTAAAATGGAAAATTTACAAAAATTAATATAAAAAATAAAACAAAATAAATCCAGAGTTTCCACTTAGCAGGACTTCAAGGAAAAGCAAAGAAAAAATATTTAAATAAAATGAACATTTGTAAACAGACTGCAGTACACTCCGCTTATCAGTGAGTACTAAAGTGTTTATGACATTTATGGCGCATAAATATATGCACTTTGCTCAAATAATTTTCATTTATTCTGTCGCCGATCCTCACGAAGTATCGCAGCTTTTTCAAAATGAAGACGTTTAACGCATTAGTATTTTTGCTGCTTCTGTTGGCAGTTAACGACCGTTGGTCAATTGAGGACCATTTAAGGCCGAAGATTCAAAGGGATTTTACAGGAACACCAACACGTCTGTACCTAAGAAGTCTTAGCTGAAAAGTTATTTGTGGATAAACAAAATATTGCAACAACATTGTTATTCTAAATAAAAATAATTGAGCATTTAATCAACTAATCGTGACACTTTATCATCATCAAATGTTTCATCGTATTGCTACACATTCAGTAAGCAATGACTATGCTGTACAGTAGAGTTTAGTAACCATGAATCAGATCGAAACTAAAAACCTAATGAACGAATAGAACATGAAATGGACTTCTATGAATATAAATATAATGTTGAATAACAAAATGTATTTAAATAAAACAAAAATATATTCATTAACACATTTCTCAGTATTTGGCTTATCAGGCATAAAAAGCTTCACTCCAGCATTAAAAAGATTTTCACATTCAAATTTTGTGTTCGATGAATTTAATTTATTCTATCGCTGATTCTCAAGAAGTGCCGACGCTTTTATCAAAATGAACACACTGAACGCATTTGTATTTTTGCTGCTTCAGTTACAATTCTATGCCAGTTTCTCAACGGCGCAGTATTTCGGGCCGACAATTGAAAGGGATTTCAGAGATATACCTAAACGTCTGTTTCGTGTAAGGACACAAGAAATGGAAAATAACTATTTGTGGTGAAAAAGTTAGTAATAAAGGATCAGGCGAACCAGAAAACCTAGTACAGCAGCACCTGTTCGAGACGATATTTGAGTGGCAGGTGCTTAGGTTAGGCAGGAGTACTACTCGCACCATATGTAAGTACAATATTTATACGTATACCAAAATCAATTTAATCTCTCTCTAATCTCAACTTTTACCACTGCACTAATCAACATGAAGACACTTTACTTCTTAGTGCATTAAATTAAAAGCAAAGCAAAGTGACGAGCCTTTGTGACTTATTGAGGCCAAGCAGTGTGCGAATATAATATTTTTAATGATGCTGCTGCCATGCCATACCATAAACATAAGGAATACTTATGTACAAAGAAATTGAAACACGAAATAATAGAAAATATTTATAATACATCATTAAAATACAGACATACGCCTGTCTATATATATATATACTATATGGCGATATGCTCGATCTGTTTAAGTAGCGCAATGAAAAGCTTCGCATTAAAAAAATTATAGGTGCCCCCCCAAACACACATACGCGCACAAATAAATTAAAACTCGGATCTCGTAAAACTAGCTTCAGCTCAAATTTGTTGTCGTTGGCGTAGACGTCGACGTCGACGTCGACGTCAACGTCGCACTTTGGCTGCACTGCAACGGCCGTTGATCAAGTCGCTTTTGTGGCAGCTGTCTCTGTGGCTGCTGCTGTTATTGTTGTTGTTGCACCACTCAAACTTGTTGCTGCTTACGAAAAAATTAAAAAAAAAATAAATAAAACATAAACATTTCGCTTTTTGCTGTAGTACAGACTTTTGTTGTGTTTTTTACCCCTTTTCAATACTTCTAAATGGGGTATATTGATGTCTAAATAAGTGGTAAGTAGCAGCCAGCAGATTTTTATGATTTTAAATATTAACTTAGGATATATTTGTGTGTATTGATGTGCTTTCAATTTGTCTATTTATCGCTCTAACTCTATCTATATCTATATATATTTGAATCTGTTTCTCCCGTCTCTGTCTTCCTCTATCTCCCTTTTTTTCTAACCTCTCTTAGTCTTTTAATATACCATTCTCTCGCTGCCTCTACCTCTTCTCGTTCTCTATATTTTTCTCTGCAACTCTCTCTGTATCTTTACCCCACTGTCTCTCTCCCTCTGTATCTCTCGCTGTCTCCCTCTGTCACCCTCTCCCTCTCCCCCTTTCACCCTCTCTTACACACTCTTTCTCTCACTCTTTTGTTTACACTTAGGGTATTCCCGCCTCCATCACTCTCGTATACTACTAAATAATTGTTGTGGTCGCAGCATCTAACAACAAATCATTGCACTGTGCACTACACACACAAAAGACATTTATGTACACAATATTGAGTATATAGCATGTCTATATATATATATCTCTCTGTGTGTGTGCTTGGCCAGGGTTCATCTTGATTGCTTCAGCAGCTGCCGTTGCCCTCTGCCTGCTGCTCGCTGCTCGCTGCTCGGTGCCCGTTTAACCTCAGAGTTAGTTGAGCTGAAATTCAACACGAATAGCAGAAGCCAAGCGAATCTATGAAATAATTTAGAAATAATATAGATAAAAACGCAAACGGATTATAATACACAAAATATAAGTAAATAATAGTATATGGAAACTGTACAGATTCATTAGTCAATATCATTATTTGTATGACTCTCATAAATTTGAGCATTCAAATTAGCCGCTTCGTTTTGTTTACGTTTATTTCTTTTTTTTTATGATCTTTTATAAGCGAAAGCACTTATTTTTTTTTTAATTTTTTAGTATTTTTTATTATTATTATATTTTTTTTAGTATTGTTTGCATTTTGGCATTTGTCGACGATTTTGTATAGTCGGACGCATCTATTATTTAATTCTTATAAATTATGGGAAAGGTATTCAAACGGATCCGCCGATCGAATGGGAAGCGGCGATATGTGGGTCTTACGTTCGCCTTATTAATGCTTT